TGACCCTTGACCAGAGATTGTTCTCTCCTCTTGTCTTCAGGTCGAAGAGCCTCCTCAGGAGCTGCTGAGGCTGCATTAGGAGAGGAAAGGCCAATTATAGGTAAGTCAATAGAAAGTACCTCCAAAGCTTTGGCAAGGTCAGGAGTGACATTATACAGGCGCTTGTCTGAGGTATTGGGGAGGGGACCTGTACCTGGTGATGCCCATTGATTCTGGACAACGTCTATGAAGAGTCTGGGCAAGGGAATCATCTCCTTTTCTACTGTAGGCTGGGTGAAGAGAGGATCAGTGGTGTCATTCTTGTCTGCCTCCGTACCCTGAGCTGTCTTGGGAGAAGGAATGCCCGCCTTAAAAAGGAGAGATCGAAAGACAGCAGGTTTAAAAAAACAGACAAAAGGAGGTGGGCTGGGAGGAAAACCTTCATCATCCAAGAGATATGAATCTCTTGCAGGGCATTCCTCTTCCCCGAAAACCGACGGTTGACTGGAAGTGCCGAGTAGCTCATGCGAAGATGAAGCCGAGAGATCGCCATCCCTGTGCCTGGAGCTAGAGGAAGAAGCAGACCTGCGAGAAGTAGAACGGTTAGAAGACCTGTATTTAAGACCAGCCACTATGCCGCGTTCGATGGCCTCAGAGATCATATCAACCATGCCCAGTGAGTAAGAGGGTAGAGGGGATCCTCATCAGGGATAATGCTCCTGCCACAATCCGAATCATCCCTACTGTTGGCCAAATTGTCTGTGCCCCTGGCATCCTCCCGAGGCCACAGGGGAGAGGTCATCCTCCGAATCTGAAAATAAGTCAGGAGGGGGACTGGTGTGAACAAGCCTCTGGGCCTGGAATTCGCAAGATTCATTGTGCTTGGTCTTGGCCCTGGCCTTCTTTGTAGGGACCTGAGAGGCCCTGCCATCCTCCCAAGGGGATGGATTATCTACACCCCCGATTAGGCCTGGGGTTCCTGGAAAGGGGCTCAGTAGGGTTATCTTCAGGAGCAGGCCTGTGCCTGTGGGCCCCAGATGAAGGGGATAGGTGGTGGGAGCAGGGGCCAAGGAGACTGGAGGCAGTTGAGGCTCAGGATTAGGAGAGGAGGCCATAACCTGTACTCATGGCTTTTGAAGAAACTTAAAATGGCTGCCAGATGATTTTCACGCCCAAACAAGATGGCCATGAGGCTGCAGAGTCTATGGGCCAGCGCCACGAGGTAGCCGAGGCTGCAAAGTGCACGTGGGTGTCTGACTCCATGTGGCAAGCCTGCGGAGCCAAGGGCGAAGCCATGGTGGTCCAGCAGCAGCGGGGAGAAACAGTGACAAGGTGTGGCGGCAGCAGCAGTGCTTCCCAGTGGCGGCGGCTTTTGGAGGCTCCCTGTGGCATTTGACGGCTTCTGGCAGCGGCAGTCAGCGGCACTGGAGGCAAGGAAGAGCCAGGAAAGGCAGCAGAAGTGGCAGCACTAAGCGGAGCCTCCAACGGCTGTTGCAAAACTGTGCTGTTAGCCAGGGAGCCTCAGAAGCCCATAGGCAAATTCGGAGGCAAAGCCTCGAAGAATCCCTGGCAATGTCTCTCCAGCCACCCAGGGGCTATTGAGAGTCCTGTCTCCAAAAGTTCAGTAGGAGCTTATTCTCTGTTTTCAATTTAGATGAAATTTTGTTCTTTGAGTAAAAGCCAATTAAATCCAATTAGAATAGTCAATTATTAAATACTAGTTAAGGAGAAAGCAATTAGCACAGCCAGTTCCAATAGAACTGAGTCTTAAAAAGTGGGAGCATGCTCCTCAGAGGCAATGACATCACTTTGGTAGACTCAGTTCTATTGGTTACTGACTAAGTTAACCCATGCATGACCGCTGTCTCCACCAACTTTGGAGAAATACAGCTATGAACTGTGAACCAATAAAATGAAAAAACTAAAATCAAAATAGTACTAGAAGCCCATTATTATTTATAGCATATAGTATAAACAATATATCCAATATAATTGTACGATATATTAATTATAATATCAGATACTTTATAATTTAGAATATTTATTCTACCTATGTGTCACTCCTTTTCTGAGAGGTATTACTTTTGAACATAAAAATGAAAATAAAAGATGATAAAAATTAAGTACATTTATCATTAAAATTCAGAGTGAAATTACAAAGGATATGGGTGAAAAGGATCTATACCATATGACATAATTACTCATATATGACTTTATATTAAGGAATCACATTGATGCATTTATTAGATCACATAAAATGTCTTTACTTTGGGTTATTTGACATTCTGTCCACTTACTATAGTCTTTATATCACAGTTTTTCACATCAGAAGGCTCCATTAACATACAACATAATTTAACTTGTATATAATACTGAGAAATTGTTGTAATGTTTCAAAACATTCTCTAAATAAAGAGTAGCCACATAAAATCACAGTTATTTTGTTTTAGTTAAATTTACACAAGACAGATATGTAGTAATGTAAAACCATTTCCTCCAATTGAAATTATATATATTGGACATGATTCAACAACCTTAAATAATAGTTTTGGCAATGCATTTCCCTGGTATATGCCCTTAAAATTCTAAGATTTAAAAAGGAAATTTAAGCAAATGATGATGATTCATCTATACTCATATTTATATTAATCTTCATTTTATGTATTTCTCATGTGTTTCTCATATTTATATATTTAAATATTTTCACTATGACCCATTATTTTTTATGAAATACCATATGCTAAAATATTAGTAAATAAACACCACAATCAGGTTAGTTTTCCAAGACAAAAGCACCACAAAACACACAATCCTGGCCTACCATCCACCTCTGGATATGTCCCCATTTTCTATCATAAGAATGCTGCAAAAGCTACAAAAAGGTAGAAAATCTGATTTTTAAAGGGTAATACTTTAGTAACAATAGATGCTATCTTCCATAATTCTGCTTACAAAATACAGGTTATTTTGCAATACTGTCTAGAAAAGTAGAATTCCATTAGCAATTTAAAGAATATTTAAATTCAATACTGCAATTCTGCAAAGATAAAACTGACCAGAAGTTCCAGTACCAACACACTAGTAATAATGAAACCATTGTTAAAACTACCACAAATCCTCAAGTATTATCCCAGATTCTGAATATATACTGCACAAAGTACAATAAATTACTTTTATAATATGGAAATGGTATTCTAAATCCTGAGGGGTAACCCATACTCTGCATGATTCCCAGCAACTACTTGCGCAGATTGTCTGTTTTGCTTTATTTCTCCAGCACAAAGTGCTTCCTTCTGTAGTATAGCAATCTTATGGCTGTTATAGTAACTTAGAATTATTGTACTATAAGCATTCTCTTTGTCCTCATCTACCACACAACAGGGTTGCCATGTATATGTCTATTCACAAACAAACAAATACACAGGCATTCACTTACTAATATACTGTATATGGCACCTTATATAACATACACTGAAAACATTGCACATCTCTGCTGCAGAATACTATATTCAATATACTATAAATATATCTATTAAGATAATTCTTGAGATCCAACTCGTCACTTAATGGACATTTGAACTACAACATGTCCCCAAAAAGCTACATATGACCTTGTTCTGAAGTTAGGGCTGCTGTAGCATCTCCATGATCATTCACCCTTACTTCTGACCAGAAGGATGCTGCACTACCCTCCTGCCTCTCCCATCCCATTCAACCCCACTGGGACCCCACAACACTTGGGCCTGCTCTCCATGCCTCCTGAAAACAGCTGCTATTTTCAGCATGCCAACAATTCCTTGCAAAAATGGAAGCTGCTTTCATAGCTTTCTGTCCTGATCAGTTGGCTGTCAGGAGACTGCAGATCTCTTCTAGCTCTTGCTAGACTTTAAGCTAGCTGCTCACATGCAAAAGCAGCAGCTTCAGGAGGAATGTCACAAACCCTTTTTCTTGCTTAACCACCTCCCTATGTTCAAAAAAGAAAACAGAAAAAAAGTTGGCAGAACTTGTTATTCTTTATCTCCCATTCCCATCTCCCATTCCCACCCCCCATTAGGCACTTAAATTAAACTCTCTGTCATTTCTCTTCAATCTCTAGTCTATCCCTTTTAATCACCCCATTTGCAAAAATTTTCTGCATGCCTGAAAACATGGTGACAAAATCTGTATGTTACTTACCTTGATGAATGACAGCCAGGTTGAGGAACAGAAGAAAGGAAGTAAGCAAGCAAAGAAAATATTTTTGCAGCTTGTTCGCATTGAGGGGCTGAAGAAAAAGTTCAGCTCAAAAACTTTAGCCAGCTACATCACAACACATGGAACAAATGGCCGGTCATAGCAGAAGCTGGGTTCTTGCAAAACTTTTTACTGTTTATCTGACTTCCGTTAGAATAATCCTAGCTAGGTCCTAAAGGAAATCAAACAAATAGCAAAAAGCTTGGAAACCTTATTTGGAAAGCTTTTTGCTGTTTGTCTGACTCCCTTTTGGGACCCAGCCTTTGCTGCAGCTGGCCGTTTGCAGTCTCCCAATGGCCAGTTAATCAGGACATAGGCCCAATCAAAAAGCGTGGTTTATCAGTCACACCATAGGCTTGTTTAGAAGCCTCTCTGGCATTTTAACTTGATGCTGGACCCTAATCTAGTTGGGGTCTTTTACCCAATTGCCTGTTTTGGGCTATGCAAAGCTTTTTGCTGCTTGTCTGCCTTGTTTATTGGCCCAGGCCTCCCAGGGCTTCCCGCAGTCATGACGCATGCCATACTTTATTTAACAATCTATGTGTTTCTTTAACAAGGGCATCAGAGAGATTAGCTGATGGGAGTTGACAAGTGAGGCTGTCTCACTTACTGACCATTCTCATTTGCAAAGGCAGGCTTCATTATATCCTTAGATTAAGGAATATCTGTAGTAATAATATTTTCTTTTAAAAGCTTTCTACATTGCTTTACAAGAAAAATGAATTCTATTATATGTATACTCTAATAAATTTAAGATAGTAATAATATTTCCTTCTGGTAGTACATACCTCTTTTTGTTGGCGTTCCAATTCCCTCATGCGTATATCCCTTGCTTCCGCTCGGGCTGCACGTTTGGCTGCAAGGCGTGCTTCGGCCTGTTATATTGAAAATAAAGATGCAATTCAAAAAATCTAGCATCAAAAGTTAGGAATCAACTTTTCCACAATTACTTTAGGACTTCAGAAAAAAAAGTTAATATTAAAAGGGAATGATGGAGGAAGACAAGAAGACTTAATGAAAAATCTGTGTACTTAAAATAATACAAAACAAATATCTAACTTTCAATAATAGGCTTGAGTTTTGTGGTAAAGATAGATAATGATAGCATTAAGAAATCTCAAATTGAAAGACAAAAAGGACAAGTATAAAAAGTGGAAAGAGGAGCACATAACTAAGGCAGAATACCAGCAAATAGCCCGAGCCTGCAAACATGAAGTAATGAAAGCTAAGGCTCCAAGTGAACTAAGACTTGCGACAAAAGTCAAAAAGAACAAGAAAAAAGTCAATGAAATGATTGGTCTACTAGTGGGAGAAAGTGGCAAGAAGGTCACAAACAACAGAGAGAATGCAGAACTATTTAACTCATTTTTTGCAAGAGAAAAAACAGTCCAGCCTATCAAAACCAGTACCGTAAAAAACAGGTTAGAAACACACGTTAAAATAGACAAAAAATTGGTAAGTGAGCTCCTGTCCACCCTAGACACTGGGACCAGATGGTTTACACCCCAAGGTGCTGAAGGTACTGGCAGATGTGATTTCAGAAACACTGAACTATATCTTCCAAAGATCCTGGAGCACTAGAGGACTGGAAAAGAGCTGATGTTGTTCCCATTTTCAAAAAAGGGGGAAAAAATCCAGGAAACTACAGACCTATCAGCCTGACTTCAATACTGGAAAAGATTCTGGAAAAGATTATCAAGCAATGAATCACGGAACATCTAGAGGCAAACAAAGTCATAACCAAAAGCCAACATGGGTTTGTCAGAAATAGATTATGCCAATCTTATTGCATTCTTGATAAAATTTACTTGAATTTCAGTAAGGCATTTGACAAAGTAGACCACAATTTACTTGATAAGGTAGAAAAATGTGGATTAGACACCACCATCACTAGATGGATTCGTAACTGGCTGACCAACCATATTCAACAAGTAGTCATCAACAGAACTGCATCCACATGGAAGGATGTATGCACTGGAGTACCCCAAAGCTGTTTTAGGCCACTTATTTAGATGAGGAGATAGATGGGGAACTCATTAAATTTGCAGATAACACCAAGCAGTCAAGAATAGGAAAACACTCCAGAAGATAGGCTTAAGATTCAGAAAGATTTTGAAATACGCTATCTAACAAAATGAAATTTAACGGTGAAAAAAGCAAGGCTCTACATTTAGGCAAAAAAAGAGCAAATGCACAAGTACAATATAGCTGGTCTCTAGCTCAATAGTAGTAACTATGAGAGAGAGAGAGTCCTAGTAGACAATCACTTAAATATGACCCAGCAATGTGCTATATCTGCCCAAAAAACCAACACAGTTCTAGGGTGCATTAACAGAGGGATAGAATCAAGATCATGTGAAGTGTTAATACCACTTTATAATGCCTTGGTAAGGCCACACTTGGAATACTACATCCAGTTTTGGTCATCACAATGCAAAAAAGATGTTGAGACTGTAGAAAGAGTGTAGAGAAGAGCAACAAAGATGATTAGGGGACTGGAGGTTAAAACATATAAAGAACGTTTGCTGAAATTGGGTATGTCTAGTTCATGGGTTGTCAACCTGGTCCCTACCACCCACTAGTGGGGGTTTCGGGATTCCAGGTGGGCGGTAGGGACTTCGGAGGTTAAAACCTCCTTTTGAGCGAGTGGGCAGGCGTGAGCACACACATCAATAAACCAACGTGCACGTGCACGCAAACAAGCAAACACATGGGAAGAGGAAGGGGAGGAGTGGAAACTGATAGCAAGGACAGGCAGAAGCGGAGCAGAGCAGTTGCAAAATAGGAGAAAGAAAAGTTATAGGCAGGAGAGAATTGTTGTTGGCTAATAATAATAAGTGGGCTAACTAGCTCAGCCTTAGTTTTGTACATTGCCCTAAGGAAGGTTAAAAAAAAGAGGAGATAAAAAGGAAAAGATAAAAAAATTAACAAAAAAGGAAAGAAAAATAGAGAAAAGGGGAGAAAATAAAGGAGGAGAGTAAGCAGTGTTTAGTCTGGCTTATAAATTAAGTTTTGCTATCTAATAAAATAAAAGAAAGAAATAAGTAAAGGAAGGAGAAGGAGAAAATAAAAAAAGGGAAAAAACTCTGGCAAAATAAAAAATGCCTGCATTATATCCAAATATGTGGAAAATGATGTTCAATTTATTGATACCTTTCCCTACCACATATCTTGTAGAATCAGGCTTTAGTGCTGTTAATCATATTATGAGCAAACAGAGAAACCGTCTGAATATCATCGAAAGAAGAGACCTTCGTTTGTTCCTTAGGAAAATTGAGCCAGATATCAAAT